TTTTTCAATACGGCTATACGAGCGACTACCTGGGTGTCCGTCTATTTATATATATAACCAAATTTCCTGAGCTATAATCTTCTATATTTAGGAACTACCGTTACGCTCGGCACCCGTGCCTTTCACGAACAATTTTCTACTGTTAAAATGAAAACGACGGATAAATCAGCTTTCGTACACAGTGAACGGGAACCGAAACTGTGATGTAAATGCAGGGCATATGTGAGGCTCCATTTAGACACAGTCGTACAGAGAACGCTATCATATAGAAACAAATAGGGCGATGACTGTTAGGGTGGGAATGGGCTGGTCAAACCACTTTATAAATGGCAACATTTTAATTATTCACAATGGTATATTAATTTATTTAAATTCTTTATAACGCCTGTGAACGACGATATTGGGGTATCCTCTTTTCAACCGGCGGTTAACTTCTAGCTGTTTACTTTCTGCCTATTGAACCATTTCGGATCTGAACCGGGAGGCGTTATTATGGAGTCATCCAAAAATGGGTCCACAGTACAACTAGCTCACTTCTGCACTCCGCCGTAAAACCACGGAAGTGTAGGGTGTCAGTGGCGACGTAAAATGCTACATGTATTGTTCCCATATGGCTGTCCGGTCGTTATGATGAAAGGGAGAACGAAGGGACGAGCTTGAGACAAAAAGGAACATATAGTAAAGAGGTCCTTCGATAGGACCCCACAAAAATAATATGCTTTGTAAACAACTTTACGCGTAAAGCTTTCGACCCACATGATCTCAGTCGGTAACAAGTCTTCGCAGGCCAACTGGCATGTAAATACTAGATTTTGGGGTCGTGGTAGCTTCGATTCGAAACCGGACGTAAACACGCTTTGTTCCGTGTTGGAAACAATCGGTCACCTGAAGCAGTGTTTAGTGGACATACCGTACGAACAAGTCGCACCACCTATTTAACCAGCATTGGACTGTATTGAAAACTTTGAAGTGCATCAACTAAACAATGGCCTCATAGAATAAGAAATATTTGATCAATACTTCTGTCTACTTAATTTCCACAGCTCATACCCAAGTTGTTCAGATGTCCCGAACACGCCTTACTACTGCGGCTGCTTTTCGTAGATTGAATTATTCCGGATCTGAACTGTGACATCTTGCTAGGGAAACTATCCAGCAGGGAGTCCACGTGACAACTTCAGTCTCTCGCCGAAACCGGCAAAGAAGAGGCTTCGATTATATATACAGTTCCGATATAGGGTACTTTGTGTGTTTTTTTTTACCGGTTTTTAGATAGCCGGTCTATGGGCCTTGTTGAGCTTACGTGGTTTCTCTCCAGCAGACCTCCGGAACGGCTTGATAACAATACGCCATACTAATTAGTTGCTAACGTTAAAATCTGAACCAGCGATGGCCGTAGATTTATAGTTATTATGGCGACGCATCTAAAGAAATACACATTGGCCACCTAGAGTACGTCGCCCCAGCATGAACCAAGACGCTGTAGGAGAACCAGCGTATGTGTAGATAAAACAGATCTTAATGGCCTTGTTTTATCTTTATAACTATTTGTATTCGATATTTTGCTATCTCTTTAATCAACTTCATTTAAGCAAGAAGCTTTCTTCATAACTAATCTTTGTTCCAGGAATATGTTGTTGCTTAAATCTCGAAAATCGTTGTCAGAAGTTTTCTGAGACCAGCGGCGTAGAAGTCATCTTCTGCCCAATTTGCATCAGTGACAGTGACCAAGCCAATACTTTCCAAAAAAGTCTCCTAAAAGATCTTAAGGATCTATATAGCATGATGTCGATATATGTGTGAAAACTGAAGAGACCTGTGAAGGGATCCTATTCTAAAAGGGGAGAAGCTGAAAAACATTATGCTCGTTAGGAATTAGGAACGATAGATAATCAGACTGTGTTTGCATTCCGAAAAAAGGAAAGAAGTTACATAGCGTTAAGAAAACAATAAGAAAACAACAAGATATGTACTTGCTAGCTAACTATATAGAGGATAAATCGTTAGAAGTAACTTTATTTATTCACCTAGATTATGCAGCACGTGTCGCTTGCAGCAAGTAACAATAAATGATTAAAGTAAGCTTGATTTTTCGAAACAGTCCCAGAAACGAGCTTCCCAATAAATCTGTTATCAGCATATCTTTTTGTTTGCTAGCTTTGACTTTTTAAATTAATCAGACTTTCTGTTATCTCTGATACGCTAAGTTTCGACCGGAGAAAGGTACTTTTTAGTTTCTTACAATTACCAGTTGTCAGCCTTGATGTCCCTAGAAATTCGTTACTCGCAGCGTTCTATGAACGTGGTTCGAGCCTTTCTTGTCCAGCTAATTCTAGTATACGTCAAGGACGGCTGAGACAACGAGAACATCTCCTGGTCCGTTTGATGGCGGACTAACGACCGACCCCCAGCCATTCCAATGAGCGCTATGCGCGTCACGTCCATTTCTCTGGAATCTCCTTCATGGGTTTTGCGTCACTTATCTGGCTTCTTTGCCGGATTCTGTCTATCGTGGGGTGCGGGACGGGGGCAACGAAGGTCAAAGATAAATGTTTGCACAGGACCCCTTCTTCATCTCATCTCATCTCATCTATCTGTATCCGTCCTCAAGTTTTCTTCACTTCCCCATTCAATATCCTTTCCTATCGCGTTGTCATCACTTTAACTTTTACAGCATTCAATGCAATTGCTGGAAACTGCTTCACCCGCGTAGACTCACTATGGCTTCTTAGTGAATCGAAAAAAGACATATAGAGAAAGGGTGAAAGCGCGGACGCTGTGGTAAATTCGAACTTCAATGGGGAAAATGACGGGACAGAAAATGAGGGTATCCAATCGATCTTAGTAAACTTGAATGTTTCTAAAGGTGGACGGCCGAACCCCTAACTTATGTTCGTGATGAATGTGCTGGTTACGAATGAACTGGCTGCAGAGAACCAATTTTAAGATAAATCAGTAATGATTTAGAAGAAACATAATAGTGTAATAATATCGTGTTTAACTCCAATGAAACTAAGCGACCGGGACAAATAAATAAACTAATAAACAGCAACCATAACATTTAAGTGCACTCTCACTAAAAATTATCTAGCACATTATTCAAGTATATCTAGTACAAATTCTGGTATTTTTCTTAGTTGAAAACTTACGAAACCTATATATATATATATATATATATATATATATATATATATATAGTAAACCATAATATTGTCATCATAAACAACTTTCACGCTTATCAGGTATTTTGTAAGACAAAACTGTCAAGAAAGTCAACTTTCTGCCTTTAACTTTTGACGCAGACGTTAGTAGAGTCGCCGCTTATTGTGAGTGACTTAGAAAAGAATACAAAGTTGAATACATATTAGGTAACTGCGCCCATTTTGAATGTTTCCATTAGTCTTGCATGAAGATGGCGCAAGTTCCGAATCAGACGCGTCACTTCGTTTATAAACGGCAAGTAAACATGTAATCCTTGTTTTCGATACGTCACATTAATAAAGGGAAATAGTTTATGCCAATACGGGTATTCTCATCTCTGTTTAGGCATCGATATATTGAATTTTGATAACCGAACAGTATCCAATAGGACAAATCATGGCAAAGGTCAAAGTCGGTTGATCGATCGTCTGTGACAGTATTTGAACACGGACATTATATTGCCCACGTACATAGCCTAGCGTCCGAGGATGACTGTGCTAAAGCGTTTAGGTCAGCATTAAACTTAAACAGATCTTAGAATCCCCGGAGGCAACTCGTGTCGTAGCCCAGAATACACAGCCCAGTCGCACTATATAGACTATGTTCTGTTAGTGATTATGTAGGACCTATTGTAATTTTCCGTAAATGATATCTAAAACTGAGACGTGTGTGCCGATCCTTCGATCTGTTTGTTCCACGATTGCACACGTTTCCTTAAGCAGGCGGTTTTTTCCGTCAGTGAGTGCTTCTTAGAATGAACATTCTATGGCTTCCCTTTAACGACGTTAGCTGGCATGTCCCTATTTTATCGAAAACCAATAGCTGTCCAATACTGCGGTGTTTCTTTTTGTTCTGTTTTTCCCGTTTTTTTTTTTTTTTTTTTTAGCAAAATTAAATTAAAATAATGAGTGAATTGTATCGGCCACAAAAAGTAGACTGCTCAAAACGCAGTTTGATACAGAGGCAATATGGTTTTTGTAACGCAAGTGGTAAACACCTTTATATGCTTTGTATTGGGACGGTTAGAAAAGAACCCAACAAAGACGCTAGAGAGAATCTCGTAAGTTTAATGCATGAAGATATGCATTGATGCATAACTAGTGTTTACGAAGAAATACAAGATGTACACCAGTTGCCGACAAAAAGTTCCGCAAACATTCAGATATTTTTATCTTCCTTCTGAGGAAAAGTCAGCGAACTTCCAGTATTCGTACTTTATATACGTGATTCTAATCCTCGGCAGCCTTTTGCATTTTCGGCTTACGTACGATCCAGATACTATAAAAAAAAAAATCTCACTTTCGTATCGGCTGATGATTGCACGTCGGTAGATAAGATCGATTCAGCTTGATAAGCGCCACTTCAGCCGTGTTAGGCCTGTTCGTCAGCACCTGATAACAGTAAGTCAATCCATCCTTAATATTCCTCCATCAGATCAAATTGGTAGTCATATTAAATCCAGCTAGTTTCTTCGGCTTCGAACGAATGAGTGGCTCTATCGGTGACGTCCATAGCGTGTATTAGAGGCATCTATATAGTTATTTTAACAATATGCGTGAATGTGAGCATTTCTACGAGCTTCACATCTAAAAGCCAAGATGGACTCGATTGGTCCTTATTTAAGGTAAAATACATAAGTGCATCGTCTCGACACGCTTTAACCGTAGAGCCATTGATAACAGTTTCTATATGGTGACTGAAGCACTCCACAAAATCTATAACTTTATATATATAGTGAGCGTTCGAAATGTCTCAACTGTTCATCAAGATTCATAAAGTCGTGCCGACTCGGTTTCTAGGAAAGCTTTTTTTTATATTCTCCAGGTTGCACTTTCCACTTTTTTTATATATATATAATTAGCCCAATATATAATTAGCTTAACCCTTGTAGACAACATTTTAATGTCCTCTCGCGTCGGCTCTCCGTATAGAAAGCGTTTACTCCGACCGGTCGATTTTAGTCGATCCTTTTTATACTATGACTTTATCAAATCTGTTTGCGCAATTTCAGTCAGTGGCGTCTTTCTGTCGACCATGCCACGAAGCCGCCTATTCATCCTCTCTTGAATAGGTCTCTAAATGTCTGAATAACGAAACTCGACGATATTGGGCAGCTACAATGTCTACCAGTTCTAGCGAAGGCGAACCTTCCCATCCTTCGGTACAACAGCCCAGTGGAACGAGTCAGCTTGTGGGCATAGTTGCCCCTGAGGATACGAGCAGCACTAAGTCGGAGTTGCCGCCTGTTATAATTCCAGCCGTCGTACCTCCTGTATCGGCGGCATCAACAGACGCTCACCATGCGCTGTCGTCCTCGGACGAAATGACATTGACGATCGCAGGACCAACAGCCGCTACTCAACCAGTACGAACGGTTCAGATTGTCACTTGTTCAGATTCCAGCGTTGCCTCTACAATAACGACCTCTACCGTTTATTGCCTGGACAAACTAAGATCAGCGTCGGCCACTGGAACGAAACTCCATATGGAGCCAATTAGTCCCTCGTTGGCCCTTGCTTCGGACCTTAGGAAAGGGAGCACCACGGCTACAAAAATGGCTATTGCAACGAGCACCGATGAAGAAATTAGTGATGAGGATAGCAATGGTAAGTTTAATATATGCACAGATTTTTTATGTATTCTTCCAACGTTGTCTTCTAAAGTGTACGTAACAAATACAAAGAAAACGTTGACTTTTGTTGTATCTCTGACGCGGAAAGGTGAGTAAAAATTTAGTTATGTAACGCCAGCTCCATCCGTGGTAGAAGTAGACTCTTATTTGAACGATATACTAATATAAGCTTGTCCGTGCTGACTGTACAGCAGTGGTACTTGGTCAGTAGCTTCCTATGGGAATTGCAGATTGAGTTACATATTTGAACTGAACACACAAATAAAGAAGTAGCTGGTCCTAAATTTAGCGGCGTACTTGCATGGAGCTCATGCCAGAGCTATCGTGCAATCTTCGTGAGCAAATCAAATCGGTCCCTTGACTGTTAAATGGTTCTGAATCGAAACACAGTCCTCATAGCGTGCCAGGCTTACTCTATTAAATAGACCTTGGATCCGAAAACACGTTAATCGGGCTTTACAAACTATCGAAAAGCACAGAACCATGGTCGAAGACCATCAGTCGCACTCTTCAGAGTTACTACGATTATGCTTTCAACTTACAGACTCAACATTTCGAAGTGATATCCTGGATCCCCTAATTTCGTGCGACCCCACAATAACTACCGTCACATCAGATGGCAACCGCCAGCGAAGACCCGCAATAAACAAACAGAACATAATCTACGTTCTTCGCAGTATGGATCCGAAGTAATGAAGTCTTTCCATTGCATTCTCAAATGCACAACTCAGTTCTACCCAAAGTTGCGGTAGCTATTTTTTTCTACTTATTATCAAACTGTTCAGTCTTAAACATTAGAAAATAGACGCTGCTAAGCCATTTATTATGTTTTCTATTGACACTGTTCAAGCATGGTCAAAACCGCTACCCAGTGCCTCGAAGCGTACATCAAAGCCCGAAAGTGGACGAGCTCCACAGCTTTCGCGCGTGAATATTACGCCTGCGGCCAGGTTCACCTAACGGCCATTGTAATTCATCGGAAGATCTGCAAATCGCGTATTACTTTTCTGCAGATGCGAGAATACATTGAGAATATCTCGTACTTATTCGACCAATACTCGGAGTACAGTGAGATTACGGTGAGTGGGTGCTCTCGCTCAAAAGAGTTTACCGCTGCAGTAGTCTTCTAAACATTGCACCGTCAGACCCTGCAGGCGTTTTCAAAGTGAGTTAACGATGACAGAGTCGTCGGCTTGTTTTTGTAAAACTGTTTAAAAATCAGATGAGCTCTAACAGACAATTTACTTTCACAGCATCGTTGTAATGTTTAATTAAGTAATTAACAAAATTGGGTTGATTTTTGATAGCAACGTTGACGTGTCATTTACAAGGTCGTCCGTATCTGCTGTAGGCTTGTCATAACAACAAGCTTCTCGATACTAGATGTGCATGATCCGAAATTTTAAGTCAGATTAACGTAAAATCTAGCATTAATAGGGAATTCTCGGCTTTGTAGCGTTTAGGTGGCGAAATCCGTCAACTGATCCTGATGGTCGAGTATCTTGCGTCATGTCTAGAACGTTGTTCAGGAAAAGGAAGTACAGATTGGATCGAGGTAACTTAGTTGATCATTTCTCAATGACCAATAACGTGACAGGTGGACAAGACATTAATAACAACAAAACTTCAAAAGAAAAAACCGGTAGCTTAACTTTGGCTGGGGCAAGCTTGCTGGACTTTGTTTGTATATGCACTCAGTATGTATAAAGCAGAAATCGTCACTATCGTCTATACATAGCGCGGGCGTCTGCTGCAGTATATAGATGAAACTAATGCAATCTTTTTGCTTTGGTATTTTGAAGGTTGCACGCATGTTTCCGATGGAGGTGTCGCGGGAAATATCACCAGCGGAGGATTTGTCACCTTTGCTTAACCGCATACGAGTATTGGTAGTGTATTTTGAATAACCGAGTTTGGCCTTTGAGCTAAACGAAGTTCTACCGCGCCATGTTACATCCTGCGATCAATAACCCTAACAATGATGAAGGCCGGCGAAGTACCAACGGCGCATTTAGCTGCTGAACGCTTGAATAATTTTGTTCTCTGTTAATTAAATTCGAGTTTCATTGAAATGGTAAAAGACTCTTTAATTATGGCGGTTGCAAGGCGTGGACTTGGTACCACGTGTTTACTCGATGCGCACAAATGCGAAGATTGAGCCTTTTAAATTAAGACCACCCTTGCCACCGATTTTCAAATTTTCAGTGCCTTTGATCGTAACATTTCATTCTAAGATCATAAGTAGAGGTCAATAGAAAGTTTTGTTCTGTGTAGGAAAAGCTTTCAGGTCGTGAAGGTGGTTGTCATTTCGGCTTAGGTGCCGGTAACCTTTATCGAGTTACGTTGGCCGAATCCATTGAGTGCGCTATGAGACTATCGCCGCGTCAGGAAACCTCTCCACATGCCGTTATAAGTGCAGTATCAGCGAAGAACGGGGTAACAGCTACAGGCCTGGTGACTACAAGCTCCGATACCCATTTATCGATACATCAACGTGGCGGGACCATGGACCGTATCGTGTCTGCCGTCATATCATCTCCATTCGTTCTTAACTGCTACGCTAGTTTCACAACATATGATGCCAACGTACTGCTCCTTGAGGTTGTTGACGCAATTAACCTTCAACTGGTTTGTGTTTCCACTATACTGTTATAGTTAGATTTAGCTTAGAATATTCGATGTTAACAAGTTGGTTCTTCGTGTGTACGTGTTCATGCAGTATCGTCCACGCTCGTTTGAAACTAGGGGTGCTAATGTTGCGCCATTTAGCCTGCTATGTACGAGGGACTGTCTGCGGAATATTATTGTAGCTCGATGTTCGAACCGTATTCCGCAAGATCTTACGGCGCTTCTTGGCTAATTTCAATCGTTCCCGCTAATGGTTTAATCCATCGATTTTGATTCAATAGGTCTTAAACTTTACAAAGAAGATTCCGGAGGACCTCCTACGGCATCTCCTGACGCAGTTGATGATGGCCGTAGAACATCTTCACTATAAAGGATTTATCCACCGAGATATCAAGGTATGGGCCATACTCCATATGGCATCGACCCAGCAGGTTGCATCATTATTTGGCAACGTTTGATTCGTATATAATAAATTGTCCCTCTTTTATGTGCGTTTCTTTGCAACTCTTTTGATCAATTAGCCGTCGGGCCTGCTACTTCTTCCGACAGGTAGGATTAAGATAGCCGATTTGACGCTCTCAAAAATGTGCATCGGCCGCTTTGCGCCTTCTCGTCTTAAGAGCTATAGCCGAAGCACGCCATATGAATTCAATGACCGCGAGATGATGGGCACGATTCCCTACATCAGCCCAGAAGTACTTCGAATGCGCCCATATGGACGAGCCGCAGATTGGTAAATACAATTTGATACATTAGTGTGACCTCTTACCAACTGCTTAAAAGATTGTTGCTATTTTTTAGATTTATTAGACACGTGGGTTCCATCATTGTCATATGCTGAGAGCCTATTGTCCGGCCTAGTATTCAATCCTAGTATTCTTTTCTTCCATTCTAACGGATCGCCTGACGTACTCAGTGGGTGTGAGTCTATAATAATAATATATATATATATATATATATAGCTTATTATTCGTACTTTCTTTCGCTGTCTGCTTGAATGAAGGTGGTCTGTAGGAATGACAGCTTTCGTACTATGTTCCGGCCAGTTACCGTTTCGAGTTCCGAAATATAAATGCATCGATGGGGTTCGATCGTACGGCAAATACTCGAGTATTCGGTGGACCACGTTTTCGGCATCGCAAAAACTTGTTAGCCTCATCAAAGCGCTCCTTGTTAGGCGACCCTCACGTACGTGCATGGCAACCTGGAAGGCTGGAAAACTGGAGAATCTATTTTACATAGTATGTGCAGCAGAATCCGCCGGTTTTTATTGTTTGTAGGGCATCGTGTTGCACCACATCATTAGCGCGGAGAATGTGACACGAAACAAAAAAACAGACAGACTGAAGTAGGCAAGCGGGTATAGAGGGACCTTCAATTTTTGTACAGAAGTTCTAGCCTGAGTAACCTGTCAATCACGTACCCCGGAAATCTCAGTAACGGTATTACGCATCGTACAGGCGAGGTCGTTCGTTAAGAATGAAGTCACCTTTTGGCATGATTTTACAGAAAGATTGTGCTCATCATCTTATCTTGAGCTGAGGAACTACGGGTTCTTTTCCGATGTTGACTGGACTGCCGTGGCTAATGGAGCCACCGAATTTGATTGCAGCACGCTCATTGAACAAGCCCGAGCGGTTTCCGAACCAGCTGGACGAATGGCAACACTCGGGACCAGCGTCAGAGGTGTACGTAGTCCGCAATGCACGTTTGATCGCGATATTTGCTTACCGTGACGGTTTATTATACTAAAATAGATACTACGGAATTTAGCACACACCGTACGCATCTTTTTACAATTTTTGCAAACGAAATAACAGGAACTCACTTCTGGTTTAACTAGTTCTAACACCTAATACTAAATCTGCAAAGCTAAAGTCACCTGAGCAATTCCAGTAAGCTGGAATTTCTCTTTTTGAAGAAAAATTAAATTTTTCCTTTCTTTTTTTCCATTTTCCTTGAAAAAACATACAGTACCTATTACCGTATGGGGGGAAGGGTATAACATACACTATCTATTACCGTATGAGGGGAAGGGTATAATATCTGCGGCGTTTCTAATATACCCAGTTCGTGTATACGGATGGGCATCTGTTTCTAAATTTCTAGGCCCCACTGTTTTACCTTCTTTCAGGAGCCTAGAAGGAAACTGCCCCTGTTTACCTACACATCAGCGGGTTTCTGTCGGGTTGTGCAAAAGCTTATGAAAAAACGCAAAATAAATCAACAGGATATCCTGGATCCACATGAAGCCATCACTCCCGACGTCAAGTACACGTATAAATTTAAAGGTATTCATTTATTAGAACTGATACTTCGAATTTCCGATCTTGACGGGATTTATGATATTATTACTATATTGAAAAAAAATTACTATATTCTGTAGAAATGAGGTGAGAACATCCCTACGAAGTCTACATATGCACGCTTTCAATCCCCATAGTTTCAAAAGCATGTAAAAGAAAACCGTACATACGAAGGCGAATCCCGAGAAAGATATGACCTGTTGGGAAAAGAAAGGTTGGGCGAAGCTCCATACAACCTCTTCAAGGTATACTTTAAAGCATGCATAAAAGTAATGTATGCGTTGCTAAACCCAAACACAAAGGTTCGACTGTCACGTTCTCTTAATTGCATAGAATACGATTGCTAGGATAAATTGCTAGACGAAAGGCTCTTGTATTGTACATTTAAAAATTTACATAAGCATCTGACTAGGAATGTACAAATTAATAGTTGAAATTAATAGTACTTGTGTAAGGCCATTCTATCCTTACTATCCTTTGATATGTATATGTCAACTTCGCCATGTCAACCCCTAATCTGGCCAAGTTTCGCAAAAGTTGAAATGATGTTCGACCGTTCTGATCGAGAAAAATTTTCGTCTTACCTTATCCCACATTAACACGTCGAAGGCCAATTTCTGTTGAGGTTTCTTGGCGGCTCGTAGCAAGTCTATGGCGCAATCTGAAAACCACCTAATAATAATAATAATAAGTAATATTATAATTTTATTATAAATATTAAATCATTAAAACTGAACGAACATGTCACGTTCAGAATCAGCAACAACAGTTTCGTCAAGCACGCGATGCAGGGGACACAAACTAGTACCCAGTGTAGATCTTTCCATGGAAGTGTTTCCAGTTGCTGCGAAAAAGGCTTAGGAAAAACGAATGATCAAAAGCGGCATGAGTGCAAAATACCCGAATATATTTAACAACAAATGGAACGTCAACCAAGAGAAACAACAGCAATTCATTGAAGCCATATTCTGTCAACGGTAGAGTTGCCGATTGCTTGTGGAAAAATATTGAAGAAGTGACAGAGATATATATCGTTTTTGATTTCGATAGACATTCGTAGCCGTTATCCAGCGAACTCAAGAAATCCCCACCCAGTTTATATTCTGCCCACCGATCTTGTGCAGGATTTTTGTCATTGGCGTGTAGCCCTCGAGCACAAAAGAACAGTGATTTTTCAGTAAAGCTTTCAGGCCCTGTGAGTTCCGATGAATGCAAGCTTTTCGAAAGTAACATTGTTTTCGATCAATCTATGGCGTGAGCAGAAATATTTTTTTGAAACACTTGAATTTTGAATGCAAGCTACCAATCAATTGCTCAGTACGTGTTTTGATGATCCAGCACGACGCTATGAAGCGGCCGTCCGGTGAGAAATATATCCGATGTACAATTCATCGGTGCAAACATAGATCGATGTGGATAAGACGTTCTGAGAAAATCTTCTCCAACCCAGACTGCCGAGAAAACCTGTCTCACTATAGTAACCGGAGTCATCGTAGCGTTGTAAATATCTAAAGACGCAGAACGACACCTCGGCGGACGACAGTGGATAGCAAGCTTGCTATCAATAAGCGAAAGCACAGCCATTGAAACAGCAGCAGGTCCGACCCCTGAGGAGTAAAGAAAAAAAATAGAATTCCCGTTTTCTAGCCGTTCATCACTCTGAAATCACTATGCATCCTATTGTGGACTCTCAAACTGCTTCTGACACGTAAATCAGGAGGCAGCATAGGTTTGAATGAATCAAATTGCGTTATTTAGCCGAAACAACAGTTACCAGACCCTTTGACCAAGTCGTTTTGCTTTTGGGTTACAGTGGGACGGTCAACGAATATTAGACGATATCCTGTTCTTTTTCCCTTTTGTTGCGATTTCGTAGATTTTCGCAAGACTCAACCATGTCAGACTCAGCGGTCCAAGAAGCCTAAAAGGTCTATTGCATCGTCGGGCACATCCACCGGTGACGAAGAGCTCCCGGCGGCTACGCCCTCCGCCGCTCCAAACCAGCAGAGCAACTGTTTTTCAACAGTTTCGACGGTAAAATCGACGTCAGTAATGTCTTTCGTCAAAGAACTTCGCAACGGATTATGATGTAGCCGTAGGATAAAAAGCTATATCGTAACACGACGAAGGCTACAGCTGTGAAGAAAAGTAGCTGTGAAGGTAACGTTTCATAAAGGACTAATCAATTATCAGGAAAACTTGTTTCTATTATTTCCCAACTTTCAATCAAAAGTACCTATAAGCAACAAAAACTCGCGGAACTAGCGTTGAATACGAACGTGCTTTTCCACTAACAAGAGTAAGTCTATTACCGCTGCATAATAGTACCGAGTGGTTATCAGCCAGTGGAAAATGAGGAAAATGTTGACGATCTGCTAACGTTAACCCCACACAATAAGACCGTGACAGCGTCTTGGAGGTCTAATACATGTTGTGTAGTTAGTATGAAAGCGAAGAATTCGTGTATAGAAGCCCATGAAATGGTTAAAAAATTCGCATATTGGTCGAGACCAATAAAAAATCATGACAGGACAACGAGCTTGAGAACGTAGTCTGGAAGTCAAATCGGTAGGAAACATGGTGAAACCAAGTGCCTATATATGCTGTGTATTGAAGTGTGTTTTTAACATGGCAATATAAAGGTATCTACTAATAGAACATCGATCCGATAATATGTAAACGTCCGACGTTCTACGAGATATTTTATTGATATTGCATTAAATTTTTCATAATCATAATTGATTCCTATTAAACTTACTTTAATATGCATCATAATTTAATAAAAAGATTGAAATAGCAGTGCGTTAATAGCCGCGCGCGATAGCTATATGCTCTCCTCTCTGAAACGGTGCAGGTGTCAATCAATACGATTACCATGGGCTCGAATGAGACAACGCTGCCGGATCAACTCCTGTTTCTCGGAGCGGGAAGCGAAGGTCAGGCAGACACCATCTGCTCTTACGAAGCAAGAAAGGGTGAGGCAACAGCTGTCTCAAAGGACGGAGCCAATAAAATGGTCTACGCGTTTATCTGTTGTCTTCATTCGTATTCGATTCTCCTTATAGCATATATCCGTTAAAGTGGCGCACTGGCAGACAATGGAAGCGTGAGATAGCAATTATTCTATCAGCTAGTGAAAAACCCAACCCAGTTGGATTTGGGTGGGTAGCTACAAGAGTGGTTAATTACTCGTTTGTCGTAGTTCGTAGTTTCATATAGTACTCCTCGTGTCTGTGTCAGACGAGTATTTTACTAACTGTCGCTACTAAGGAAGTGCTTACTGTGATATGAAAGGAATAGTGATATTCAAGATTAACTCTTCACGGTTGAAGAGCAGAGGTTCTAGCTAGTCCCCTCGTTATACTGGAACTCCGTACACTATGATCTACTGTGACGTCAAAATTAGGCGTGAAGTAAGTTTCCTCGGCTATACCCTATTTTTCGTAAAAACTGGTAGCAGCCAAATGTTTCGATCTCCTAGGTATCCTTGTAAAAACGTGCGTCAATCAGGAAAATGCTTTGTTCGCCTCGTCGAATTTCCAGGCCATGTTCTATGTTTATGCTAACAATTACAACTGCCCCAAAAAGAAAATACAAATTGCGGCGTAGCGTAGGCCGAACCCCACTCCTGCTTGGACTTCTGCCGTTCGAATAAAACTGCAGCTGTCTTAGCGAACGTGTGTCAAGCGATTATTACTCCATATCAATAGAAATACTGCTTACTGTATATATATAACTATAGCCTACATGCATTATTCATACCGTTAGGAGAAGCATAAGACCATTTTGGAGATCCAATCCATGACCATTATTATTAGACAAGCATGCCATTTTACGCTGTTCTATAATATGGTATATTATAAATTATAAGGGCATGTTTGGGGCGTATACGTGGTAGGAAAGACTCGTCACATTGATCCTCAAATGTCTTACATCTCAAATGTTCTCCATATTATTAAGACTTGAAAGTTATTTGTGCATGGTGAATATTCTTGTACTTCCAAGTGCATTTTTCATTTTTCTACCGTAGAACTTTCAAATGTCCAGCCCCTTTGCAATAGATCTCCTCTGCGTGTATAACGGGACGAAGAAATTCATAATAGCAGCACATGGACAATGTTGTTTCTTCAATATACCACAAAAGTGAAATTTTTACGATGACGATAACCGCGTTGATATGACAATACATCGAGAAGACCTGCCATGAAAGCTCCAAAAAAAAGCTAAGGACCGGTCTTCGTTACACTGCTCACTTACTCCCACTTCGTGGGTTCATCAAGTATCGCCATTTTCATCGATACTGCACTGTACATCCACTCACGTTTTTTTTTTTTCTATTTGTTATCATTCACTATGTTGTCTTAATTCTCTGCTCTACCACCATTTAATGGGTCCTCGTAATTTAATAAGAGATCCGTTAATCATCTTATATGACTATTATACTGTTGAGAGCTCGATGTTGTTCTATGGGTTGCTCCGTCACGCTTCCCCATACAATACTTGACATACTGCAGCGTCAGCAAGTTGGTTGCGCTCGATCTAACTATGAGTCGCGCACGCCCAAGAGCAGATCCTTCGTCCATTGGGGGCAGCGTAAATCATCCTGTCCGTTAGACAGCTATGCGGCCGAGACGCGCAGCGTCTCAGCAATCGCTTGACTGCTCCCTTTTGTTGCTCACGGGATTATCGAGTCGGCGAGAGATATCATGCGATAGAAACGCCTCTGATGACGACAAGACAAACTTAATTATGAGAATGTGGACGACCGTTAGCTGAGGTGATAAATCATAGCATACAAGTCAAATGGTAGTTGAACACTCATGGAAAAGGGACAGAATTATCGGTGCCGTGCATCAATTCAATCTAAAAGGAAGTTTACGAAGAGAGGTAGACGTAGGAAATCGATGCCATAACAAATACACACAACTATCCATGGCAGACTTGCCGCTAAATGGTCAATACATCATGCAGTGCAAAGAAACATTACTTAGTACTTTGCTAAAACATGTACATACGTTCATTTAGAGTATTTTATTCTTCTTAGAGGAATCTCATTTCCAACAAAGCCATGTTGTTACACCTGTTCGTAGGATCCGTACCGACTATATAAGAATCACGGTACAGTTTTGTAAGATAGACATAATTGTTCGCCATTCGTAAATACAATCCACTTGATGATTATATATATATATATATATATATATATATATGTCAAATCATTGTTCAATGATATTTAACCTATAGTATTTATGCCTGCAGCTTTAGCTCCCATCTTTAGCCGATTACATGTACATTGAATTTATTCAACACCCCTTCGTCCTCATAGGGTCCGTCTGTGCAATGCATAACGCGTATATCGAAAACAATTTCTTTTACGCGCCATTAATAATCCGTAAAGTGGATTGTACAGGGTCTACAAACGACACTGGCACGAAGTTCGTCTCATGTTAGGATGGTCCCCGTATATAGTCTAGCATTTCCATCACTCCTGTATCTCTCCTTCAGTATCACCGGCCTTCTAAGTAAATAAGTGGATGGACTACCCAGTGCATCCCACAATAAGATAATTAAAAGTTCTTCTCGATAACACAACTCTGTGAGCTAACCGCGGCGGAACTTGGAGGCTCCTCAGGGACTTGGCTTCTTTTACGCATCCCCTTCTCATTGCAAGAGGCAACCTTTCCTTTCAGAAGGTCTCAAGAGGACTCATCTATTTAGCCATATCTCAAGCGTTGTTTTTTATTGTATTTCTAACCGCTGCCTTCGACGCGGTGGCTGTGTCCTGCGTAGCGATATGTGGGTCCTGGACAGGTTGGCGTTAAGGCTGGAAAGATTCCAAAAAATGGAAGCCTAGCAGCAAGATCTGGGTATTTTTTCGAAGCAGGTAGTACTATTACTTTGGTTTTTCTAGTACTGGCTCTAAGAAACGAACGTAGTCGTCTAGGGTGGCGCGTCTGCTGTCCCTCGACGTAACTGTCGATCCGAAAAAAAGAAAATAACTTCAGTTACTTATCTTTACACCTGCACCTGCTGGAGTGTTATATTTGTGTCCGATGCTATCCACCGATATAGAAGTAGAAAAAAACTATGTACAGTTTAATGTGTCTGATGACGAAAGTCGGCAGCTTGCTGGAACGTTGTACCTTAGTTGAATGTTGGCATCTTCAGTTGGCCTGTTTTGAGTGTTACTAGTAAACCAATTTTGGCAAAAAAGGAAAAATGGTGTCACCCCAACTCTGTGAAACTTTATTAGCTTTAACATTGTTCAAAAACTTTCGGGAATTGATCGTTTGCATCCTCCATCCGCACAAGTACGTGAAAAATGACAGATAGACATTTTACTAGCCGATGAAAGCTCGCTTTTGTTAGTGTACATTGTGAACTTTACTACATTTACATTAATAGTTTATTTGATTTCTCACATAAGCTACAGCGAACTAGTTTACTCTATTAAGGTGTATATGCACAAGTATATGATATGTACATTACAATGTACGCGACCAATGATGCCTATATTAAGCAGTAAATATTCCTTTTGCCTCAATTGCACCTTCCATAAACTTCACCATCAAAACACCGTGCAGATCAGATTGGCTATTCCTTGTGCACGCGTATTCTATGCATGTCAATATATACAATATGTGTACATACGAAAACGTATCGCACAACATCGCTAACTGTAACTACGTCTTTGGGAATGCGACAGAACTGCCGTGGCACCTGTGCCAACAGTTCGACCTGACCTGAGGCACCTTATGATCTCTGTTGAGAAAGGTATATTGAGGTCAAACCGTTCCCACTTTCTTCACTTCACTTCCTCTCCCTTCTGTTAGGACACATTCCTCAGAATTGTGGGGCGAAGAGCCGTTGGTCGACATCGGCCTATGCGTAAGTTAAAGGTTAGTTGCCAGCATACGTGCAGCTATCGTAGAAGCGAGGATTAATTCTCGTCTGGGTTCTCCGCCCACGGGCGTCATGGATCTGGTCTCCCGCCACCCGCTGTCGTCATCCTGTTCCCTTGAAATCTTGTCCTACGCAACTCTTGAGTTCTCTCCGCACAGACTCGATCTCTTCATTGTCAGTTTACGTCAGAACTACGGTAGATAGTTGCACGTATAGGTACTCATTGTCCCTTTCATGCACAGTCGGATGAAGTCATCATTTGATTCGAGTCTACCTCGCTAATGCCATCACCCTCAATGTATCTATTCGCTACGTTTGTATCTCGATAATGCGATGCAAATTCTACATCACTCTGATCTCTAAGACAGAAACGGTTGACGGAACAGGGGGTGAAGAATCTCTTTCCTTCGATCTTCCAGTGCATCCACTTCTGATAGATCTCTAACTCAGATGATAGCTGAGCTCGGTAGCTAACTCATTGGCCCGCCAGCGTGCTTCCAGCCAGTCCCCACGGGCAAATCAAACATTAATCAGGGATCAGATCGAAGTCGTCCGTTAATGCCAGCACTCCAATTAAAGCAAACGGAAGAATACGGAACGGTTTGAGCACCTGCCAATACGCGCGTTCCGACTTTG